ACAGTTGAAGTAAAGCTTACTTTGGTGGTAGAAATGTATTGATATTTTCACTGTAATTCATATAGGAACTTATTTCTGATGTGATATTTAAGTTCTGTAAGCAAGTACACAGCTGATGTAAAAATGCACAATACATATTAAGCATTTAATATTTTATTGATACTTTATGTTCCTGCTAACCACACACTGTACAATATAAGAACTTTCTGACAAAACATCCAGGCCACTAAGATGTCAAGTATGTCCAACAAAAACCCCAAGAAAACAAAATAAATGTGATGTCAGTGTAAGTGATGCGTATATGTGGAACATGCTATTGTCACGTGTGCAGAGTGTTTAGGTGTGATAACTGAAGTAAAGATTATTATTTTTTAAAAATATTTTTGTAAAGTTTTATTGGTATTTGCATCATAGTGTTCATGTAAGAATTTATTTGTGTTCATTGTTTTAAAGATTTAGTACTCTAAAAATAGTTCATGTTGAAAGTTTTGATATTTTTTAATAAACATTCAATAAATATTAAAAATTCAGACCACATCTTTGACATATGCATCTTGGGAGAAACACAATGCAACTAATAAAAGTAAATAATAAAAAATAGAAATAAATAAATGCCTTATCTATATTATTGCCTTAATTCTTTTTTTTTTTTTTTTTTTTTTTGTCTTTTTCCTTTTTATCGGTACTGGGGATCGAACTCACGACTGCCTGCTTACAAGTCAGGCGCTTATGCCGCTGAGCTAAACCTCCAGCCCCTTAATGCCTTAATTCTTGATTCTTGCTGTTTTTCTATTTTACTGAGCTGAACATTTAACTCATTTGCTTTAAAATTTCATTCTTTTTAGGTATGTATGTTTGAATCTGCAATAATTCTGGTAAGCACTAATTACATCTTCCAGATTTTGTCATATAGTACTTTAGGCTCCAAATATTCCCTGAGTTTTCAAATGAACTGTTTTTCAATGTGAAAGCCTAAATGTGTTTAATCTTTTGCAAGAATGTAAAGTTGTTTTTGTCATCATGTTGATTTTGATTGGATGTTTCTCTCCTGATTTTCGTGTGTGTGTGTGTGTGTGTGTGTGTGTGTGTGTGTGTGCTTGGTTCAAATCTAGTGCCTTGAACATGGTGGGCAAGTGTTGTACCACTGACTTAGAAAACTAAACTAATACCACCAGGTTTCTATAGATACACTTTTTAATGACAGGTAAGGTACAGCCTGGGAAAATATATTAGCTGTTATAAAACTATCACAGATCTAGAATGCCCCCACCCCAAAGCCTCATGTGTGGAGGTGACTAAATAATGGGTGCACCAAAGCCAAATTGCTGCTAAGAGGTGGGGTCTAGTCAGAAGAGGTTGGTGAGTTGGGGCTGACTTGGCAGGTGTGCCTCCCTGCTTGGCTTCTTCTTTCTCATTGCTGTTCCTGGCCACTGTGATTTAAGAAGGGTTTCTCTGTATAGGTCCTTCCATCATGACATTTTTGTGCTGGAACTTGCTGACCATGGACTGAAACTTATAAAATCATAAATCAAAATAAACTGTTTTCTGAGTTTCAAGAATTGTGTTCCAGCTGTGGGAAGTGACTAAGACATTTGGTAAATATGAGACAAGGGTTCTTTCATATTTCTGTTTTTTTTTTTATAATGTTAACATTTCTAATCTGTCACTTACCTTTGGAGAAGGGAATTCTGACATTGGAAGAACAGTCACTTTGATCAAAAGGAAAGGGCACTAATAATATGGACACTGTAACTTGTACATGTAGTGTAGGATGTGATTGGTAATGACTGCACCTCAAGTCTGTCTATATTTTGATCATGGACATGCATTACGGACTGGGGCTGTATCCTTCTTCCTCATCCTGGAGCACTAAGCATATGGAAACTGAAAAACTCTACCTCTTTCTTCCACAATTGCCAGGTAGGAAAACACACATGGGAAAAGCTCATTCTGTCTATAAAAGCCCCTGCCTAGCAAGAAATAACTTTAGTTCTGCTCATGTTTCATTAGCCAAAGCATCCTAGGGTCACACCTAGCTGGAAGGGACCCATGAACACATGCTTGCCTGTGCCTACCCAAAGCCTGGGCACCATCTGGCTAGCTGCCAAACAATCCCTACATGCTCTAGTGTCTCTTCCAAAGCCTTTTTTTTTTTTTTTTTTTTTTTTTTTACTTTTTGTTTATTCGTTTTTAAAAATTACCATCATAAATCCTTCTCATGATTTTCTTTACAAAACAAAACTGAAGTTATCCAGGTGAGTTTCTATTACTTAACAAATACTGTAGAAGGCACCTGGGACTTGGGTTGCCCATACTGTGAACGGACTGAGCAGCTTAGGAAAGTGAATGTCAGCATCCACGCTGGCTTGGGTTTGAAGCAGAGGCACATATACTACTGTGTTTTTCAGGAACAACATTTTAACAAAAAGGAGGGCATAGTAAGAGCCAGGATTTGGATCCAAATAATTATCGGTAGCCATTACATATCAGGCAGAGAGCCATGTATTTTCATGCATGCTAGGTAACTCGATATAATTCTTTATAAAAACAATTTTCAGATGAGTCTTTTTATTCATAATTTACACATACAGAAACTGAGGCTCAGGGAGGCAAAAGGATCTGCTTGATAATCATCAGCTAGCAAATGATAGTTTTGTTTTTACTCTTTCATTTTATCATACATAAGCAGGCTTGAATAATGCAATGGGTATGTAGATAAAATGTCCCGTGTGGCTTGGTAGTGCTGTGAGTTGCTTTGGCTAACTCACAAAAGGCGAAAGGGGAAATTTGAGTACCAAGGCAAAGAAGCTAGAGATAACTAGGCAGTGAAATGTTGCCGGGGTGGGGCGGGGGGATGGCATTTGGGTAGAATTAGAAACATTCCTCGGGAAACACTGATCCCATGCATAGAAATGAGGTACCTGGAAGCCTGGACACCAGCTGGAGGGACACGGAAAACTCAAACAGGCCTCAATGAGTGGCACATGCACTTAGTGGACACAAAAAACATTATCAGTCAGTCTCCAGACCGCTGTGAACTGCTGTGTGAACCTGAGAGTTCCCCTGTAAACACAGAGCAGACTTTTCATTGTAGGCTTCTTAAAGACTTACTTTTAAAAAATGACTCTATGGAAAACAGAAAACAAAAACCCCAAAAAACAATACAAATAAACAAACAAACCAGCTCCCTAACTGTAAAATGGACAAAACAACTCTTCAAGTGAACAAACAACAAAAGCAACTCATCTCTTATTTATTTCTTGTGGACCTGGCATTTCACCAGTGGAGCACTGTTCTTTCAAAAGTCTGGCTATTTGAGATGGAAAGGAGAAGGGAAACTGAGAAGATTCCTAACTATCAAGACTACAGGCAAATAACATGTTAGGAGCAGTCTGCAGGGACACCATGGAAAGCAGTGCGTGTGCTGAGTTTCAGCAACTTCTGGGCTGTGGCTGAGAGGACCTGGGTCCTGGATCCTGCATAGTTTTCATATCCAGTATTTACTTATTTTTTAAAAATTTAGGGAAAGCCCGCAATTTAAAAAGTTTCATTGATTTGCAATTATTTTTTCCCATTTTAAAAGGTTTAATTAGGTCTTATCATTACATGTTTGCAGAACATAATGATTCTATTTCCTCTGCTGGCCACATTCAGCTGCTTATCAGTTTAGGGCTAGGTTTTAACACCATTTTATGAAAACCTTTCCACATCTCAGAGCACATCTTTCCATGGAACTGGACACTGAGCGGGTCAGTTTGGACTGCTCAGAGGGTGGATGGAGAAGTTTGAGTGCTGGCATGAACTGTGGGGTGTTCCTGGGTCATATGCCAGGTGTCTGGGCCCTGATAGGAAGAGGGGTAAGGGGCGAATGCAGTCTCATTATTAGCTGCAACCCAGGCTTTCTGGCTGGCGCGGGCGCTGGGCAAGAGTGAAGGAGGGCTGCACAACTTAGCGCTCCTCTGCTTCAGTTAGCTCCTTCCCATTAACGTTACAGTAATGCAGTTGTGTGGTGTTTGAAAAAGCTTCCCTAGTTACACGAAATGATTTACAGGACACCAGACTCTGCATTTCAGAGGTCTCCTGTGTACCATAAAAAATATATTATGAAGGAATAATCTTTATCTGAACTAAAACTCATGTCCAGCTGAGAGCAGCAGTGAGCTTTTGTTCACTCAGGCAGAAGTCTGTGTTCTTCATCTTATTTGATTAACATTATTTTCTCTTTGGCACTAGGAATCTTGTTAATATTTAGACATTATATACATTTTCTTTCAACTGTTGTTCCTATTGTATGATCAAACAAGACCTAAGAAGCAGCACGTCAGCAAGCCAGAACAGCAGAGCTTCCAGGCACCCAGCTGTGGCTAGCAGGGTACAGGGGACAAAGCAGAGCCAGCACCAGGGCAGTGGGCAGATCTGGAGGGCCAGCTCCTGTTCCCGGGAAGCACAGTTGCTGGAGTGCTCTGTTCATTCCTTTGTAGCTTCTTCCTTTTCCCTCACTGTCCAGAGCAAAGTGCAACAGGAAACTATTTTGCATTACCTTTCTGATGTTTAGGATCTGTGCCTCTCAGAGGGAAGTGAGGGGTGGAAATGTCTCTGCAGAGAAAATGCACTCTACAAATTCATTGAGGCAATGCCCAGGCACCCTGCAACTTACTTGTCTTCCCTTATTAGACGTTTAGAGAGATGCGGGTCACAGTCTATTTCAGTCCAGGGAAACCTGGATTCCTTTAGCGGCGATGCCTCCCTAAGGGCACAGGTGTGTGCACCTGCAGTAGTTCAAGGTGTCAAGGAGGCAACATCCCACCCCTTGGAACAGAAGGCACCTGGCGATACCTTAGAGGCTAAAGCTCTGGGCAGGGAAACCTGGGGGTTTGCGTCAAAGCTCCACCCATTACCAGCTGGGAGATAAGATGGGGAGATTGAAAAAGGGGAAGTTGAGATGGCAAAGCTGTTGAGATAGAATTACTGCTGGACCCGAGGTGGGACCACAGGCAGGGTCTGGAGAGGAAGGAGGGTCAGCGATCCGCTGAGTTTGCTGGGCGTCCCAGGGGAGAACCGAAGCCAAAAAAGCTCCACACTGGCTGCTCCCGTTTCCCCAGTGCGCCGCGTCTGCGGCTGGCACTGCCTCGAATTCCCTAAAAGTATTTGCGAGAGGGCTGGGAACACCGCGTGGCGTCTCAGACTCGGGCGCGGGGGGGGAGGGCAGCACGCGGGGTATGGCGGGGAATACCTAGCTCTCGCGGCTGGCTGGTTGCAGTAGTGGGAGCGAGGGTCGCGCTCTCTGCTCTCTGGGCGCCCCAGCCCCAGCGCATGCCTCCGCTCCCGCACCCCCCCCCCTCCGCAGGCGCGCGCGAGGCGTACCCCTCTTCCCTCGGCGGCGCGGGGCGCGCGCCCGACCCGCTCCTCCTCGCCCCCCTCCTCCTCCCCTCCGCGCGTCTCCTCTCTCCCGGCAGAAAGTTAGCAGCGGGGAAGGAACTCGGGGCTGCAACCGCGCGCGGCGGCGGCGGAGCCTGAAGCAGGAGGCTCGGCGGCGCGGGGGAAGCGGGGGCGCTGCACGCGGAACAGGTGCAGCCGGCAGGTCCGCGCGCCCCCCTCGCTCCCCTTGCCAGAGGCTGAGGGGGGCTGGGGGGCCACCCGGACTCCGCGGGCGGCGCTGGGGAGGGGGCCATGCGGCCGGGCTTTCCCCCGGCGCAGCGGGACAGCGGCCAGGGCTGGGGGCGCAGCGGCGTCGCTCCATGCAGCCAGGGCGGCTGGGCAGCAGCGGCGGCGGCGGGGGCGGGGGCGGCGGCTGAAACCATGTCCGGGCAGCGCCGGGGGCCGCCGCCGCCGCGAGCCGGGAGCCGCGATGGCCCCGTGGCCCGCACCTCCTCCGCCTCCGCCGCCGCCGCCGCCTCTCGCCGCGCCGCCGCCGCCCGGCGCCTCTGCTAAGGGCCCGCCGGCGCGCAAGCTGCTTTTCATGTGCACCTTGTCCCTGTCTGTCACCTACCTGTGCTACAGCCTCCTGGGCGGTTCGGGCTCCCTGCAGTTTCCCCTGGCGCTGCAGGAGCCGCCGAGCTCGCCGCCGTCCTCCCTGCTGCCGCCCCCCGTGCGCCCCGGCGCCCCCTCTCCACCGCCTGCGCCCCCTCCGGACAACGCGAGCCGCGTGGAGCCACCCGAGGCCCCGGAGCAGCCCGCCACCCCCGGGACCGACGGCTGGGGACTGGCGAGCGGCGGCGGAGGCGCCCGGGACTCCTGGCCCCGGACCCCGCTGGCGCCCAGCGACATGATCGCGGCGCAGAACGCGCTGCGGGAGAGGGAAGCGCAGGAGTCCAGCACCCCCGAGGAGGACCTGGCGGGCCGGAGGGCGGCCAACGCGAGCGGCGAGCGGGGCGGCGTGGTCAGCACCCCTGACTACGGGGAGAAGAAGCTGCCCCAGGCGCTGATCATCGGGGTCAAGAAGGGAGGGACCCGCGCGCTGCTGGAGGCCATCCGAGTGCACCCGGACGTGCGGGCGGTGGGCGTAGAGCCGCACTTCTTCGACAGGAACTACGAAAAGGGGCTGGAGTGGTACAGGTAGGACCCCTCGGGATGGGAGAGACACCTGCGGAGGGGAAGCTGCTGCTTTCTGTGCCCTTCGAAAACCAGCGCCGTCCCGAGATTCTTTAGCCTCAGCGAGGGCTATGCTAGTCCAGGAGGGGCTGCTCAGAGAGAGTGGCGGAGAGGCTGGACTTCAACTAAAAATCACTTTATTCAGGGCGAGGCCAGGAGGAGGTGTCACTCAGCCTGGCTTCAGGCTCCTCCAGGAGGTGCTTTCTGATTTACTTACTCAGCCCCAAGCCTGGGAGTCCCCAGCCCTGGTACCTGCAAGGTGTTTCTTGAGCCAGGCTCTTTGAGGACTTTGGTATTCTGCGTTGGGGCTTCTGAGGAAAGAGACAGGAGAGCCAAATTCGCGAAGGGGTTTGAGATCCCCTGGAATCTATGAAAATCGCCCTCAAACGCATTTGTGCGGCTGGAATCCAACTTTAGTATTTTAAGGTCAGAGCAAAATGAATAGTGAACTGTTAAAAAGATAATACTGGTTCTTTGGATGTCTAGTAAGGATAGGATATTTCCTGTCTCTATAACTTTTTGTTTCTCATGGCTGAATGAGTTGGTTTTGCACCCGGAGCCTCGATGTCTAAGTGACAGCTGGTGACCTAAGAGTGTTTGTGCCTGGCGCCGCGCTTTCTGATCTGCACCCCTTTGGTGAGAGCTTATGTCTTGTAGAAAGTTCCTGTCTCTTTCCCAGTCTGCTGGTGGTAAGAGGAAGGGAGCAGAAAGGATTGGAAAGTTAAGTGCAGATAAACTAAATTAATAATCCCGTTTTCTTGGCAGCCACAACATTTAAAATAACATTGGTGCAGACTCTTAAAATGAAAGCTTCCTTTGCTCCCAACCCCCTTTTTTCCTGTCTTTCCTCCTTTTTCTTATCTTCTGGAAAGCAGATGTGGATGGGTGGTCTCATTTTGATTGCATTTCAATAATTAATTGCGATTGTCAAACAGGAACACAGCCCTTGTCAACTAAAGTGATATTATCATCTCAACAGAGCCAATAGGTAAAGTTGTTTCATGACAGATTGCCTTCCTGTTGAAGAGATGTGCTTTCTAGGTTTAGATTACAGGCTGGGAAAGTTTTAGAAATAACTTCAGAAATATATAACAAACATGTTATTATGATTGATTTCTCCCACTTTAAAAATATGTCTTATGCTTTAAAAGCTTGCGTGAAGTACACTTAGGCATAAACATTCCAGCACATTATCCTGAAACAGCAAATGTGTCTGTTAATGTCTTGTCTGTTTCCACAGCCAGAACTAATTGCAATATTTTAGGAGGCTTCAAACAGTCCCTTCCTATCAAAACATAAAACAGCAAATGCCTAATTTAACTGGAAATTCAGTATTTATAACATCACAAGCCATGGCTTCCAGTTTGTGATTATAATTAAAAAGGTGTTAGGAAGATTAATGCAACAACAGCAAAATAGAGATGGGGTATGATGTCTAGGAAAGAGGTTCAGTTGCTTATTAGCTGTAAAATGTTCTGGTTCCTTCCATGGGACAGCTTTGGCCTTATGAAGGTAGATTTGGGTTTTTATTTCCAGCTCAAATTTTAAAACTGTGTATCTTGTGAGAAAAGCATGATGTCCTTTGAGGGAGGCATAAAAATCAAATCTTTCTAACATGTTGCTTTACTGTAGCTGGGAATAGAGAAAAATGACTTCTCTAAATGATTTGAATTAAAGTTGGTGAGGAGTGCTTGGTACCAGGAAATTCCATTGTGATGGTGGGAGAATTTTCTGAATGAAAGGCAAGAAGATGCCACATTTTCCTATATTCTTTTACCCTGAGGCTGGGAAGAGAAGGAATATAAATCACAGCACTGTCACAGAATGGCTACAGAACGTATTTCAGCACGGTGGCATTCTTAGCTCCCTGCTCCTAGCTAACAATTGGTATTTGGAGCTTGATGTTGGTATCTGGTAGTCATCCCTAGAACTGGTAACCTCAAGGAGTGAATGAGACCTGTCTGGTCCTCACTTAAGAGGACCACGTGGCATCTCTGTGTTTGCAGTCCCTCCCCAGAATCTTGCACATGGTATCTTTACAGTGCTCAGGGGTGCTAACTGGAAGAGGCAGGAGGAAAGCTCTTAACAAATTTCCTGCCTGTACATGTGTATCTCGTACAGAGGGAGTCATTAGCTACCAAACCTGGCTGGTGAAAAGGTACCTAGAAACTCTTTGGACTTGCAGGAGCCCAGCACGCTGTGTCTGGCTTTAGGTATCCTCACCTTGTCTCAAACAGTGCTTTGAAGGCTTTCAGAAAATTTTAGTAGTTCCATCTCTTCAGACCTCCTCTCCCCTCTTTCTCATGTAGGAGGAAGGGAGGGCAGCCACTTTATTATTACAGAAAAAGAAACAGTGGCAATTCAAACCATGGACAGAAGACTTTCGTTTTGATTCCCAGGTCCATCTCTGAAATGAAGATGTCTGTATTGAAATGGGATAATTCTTCCCCATTTTTGGGTATATGAGCCAGTCTTTGCCTGATGAGAGTCACAGGATAAAGCTTTCAATTTTTCCCCTATTTATGTACTGTTGTTATGTTAAATGTGCTTTCCATATCCTATTACTAGTTCCACAAGTGTGTCTGGATTTTGTTGAGAGAGAGAGAGACAGAGACAGAGAGAGAGAGAGAGAGAGAGAGAGAGAGAGAGAGAGAGAGAGAGACAGAGAGAGAGAGGGAGAGAGAGACAGAGAGAGGGAGAGAGAGAGGGAGAGAGAGAGAGAGACAGAGAGAGACAGACAGACAGACAGAGACAGAGACAGAGAGAGAGACAGAGAGAGAGAGAGAGAGATCCAAAGATCGCCAGCTAGGAGGAAATTGGTACCAGCTGTGACACTGCTGCTGGCTTGGGGTTCCCTCTTGTTCCTCTAAGCAGCCCCAGCAGTTGTATTTCTTTTGTGTCACTCCAGTTATCTCTAAATCCGGGTTTTGCTTGGCTCCTGTGCTGTTGATCTAATACGATGTAAAAACACATTTGAGATTAGAACATGTGTGTTAGATTTTTCAGGGCAACATTGACTAATAGCTTAGGATGTGTGTGTGTGTGTGCGTGTTAAGGTTTCAGAGAAGCAAGCCTCCCTGGGTGGATTGACACAAGCCAGTGATTAATAAATAGGGTACATTAAGGTCTCCACCTCTGCCTTCCTGTCTCTCTCCCCACACCCCCACACCCCCCAAAAGGGAAAATCCGCCACCAACTTTCAGTATGAGCTGCTGCAAGCTTTCTAGGCACAGACTTTGAAATCTAAGGGATAGGACCTTGGGGGAGGCCCCTTGGCTGTCGCTGAAGCACTCATCAAAGTGAGAGACAGCAGGGAGATTTCCTCCCTCATGATTCCCATGCTTTGTAGAAACTGTGACTTTAGTCCTGAAAATCACTCAGCTCCAGGGCCATGGGACAGGGTCCTTAAAGTTTTACCTTGACTGTCAACAGTTAGCACCTCTACTCCTTTGGTGAGGGGAAGTAACCCTGGAAGAGGCTCACAGAATTCTTGCTTGAAAGAGGTCAGTGGTCAGCAGCAGTGTTCACACAGTGCACCTGGGAGAGAACTGAGGATGGATGGAAAAGCCCAGCATTAGGGAGTGCCTGCTGCTGTGGTGGCTGGCGCCTTTCAGGGGTGTTTCCACTGCAGAGTATCACGATGCTGCTGTGAGCAGCATTCCCGTGTTAAGGCAGCATCTCCACTATTTCAAGAAGTAAAGGGCTGGTTTGGGTCACTCTGGTGGTCAAAGACTGACCACCAGAGACTTGACCTACATCTTCCCAGTTTAGAATGTTTTGTGTTTTCACCTGCCCACACTGCATGGCCACACATTAAGTCCTAGGAAGATTATATCCTTTCTTCATCTGTTTGTTCAGCCAGTATTTCATAAATATTGACCATGCACTGTTTGAAGTACTGAGGGTAAAGTAATGAGCAAGACAGGTAAAGCACTTGTTCTCCTGGAGTGGAAATTTTAGTAGGAGAGTTTGTGAGACAGAAAAACAAACAAACAAACAAACAAACAAATGACAGCCAAATGATATGCAGTAAAAATTAATAATTCTGGTTGTGACAAAGTGGATAAAGAAAGAGTAAAGTAATTAATAGCCCAGCATTCGTTTGTCCACTATGGTAGCTGCTGTCTGCATCTGACGTTTGACTACTATATGTGAAATATACAAATTGAATGGAGCTTCAAGTATGAAATACATGTAGTGCTAATGTGCTTATTAATACTTTTGTATTTGATACCATATTAAAATAATAATATCATCTTATGAGGAACTTGGAAGTTGAGTCAAATAGATTATTAAATTAATTTTACTTTTCAAAGTGTTTTAAAATGGTAGCTACTACAAAATTTAAAAGCACACCTGGGTGTCACGTTACATTTCTGTTGGACAGTGCATGTGTAGCCTTTAAACTGTAAGAATGCATGAATCACCCGGGGATCTTGTGAACAGGCAGATTCTGACTCAGCTAGTGTGGAGAGGACTTGAGATTTTGAATTTTTAAGAAGTTCTCCACTGCTGTTACTGCTGCCTGTGTTGGGACTTCACTTTGAAAAGCAAAAGGCTAGACACTAGCCCCTGTCAAATCAAAGGGTAACTAGGATGAGTGTCTGTGTGTGTGTGTGTGTGTGTGTGTGTGTGTGTGTGTGTGTGTGTGTGCATGTGCCTCAAGTGAGTTATTTTAAACAGGACCAAAGGTCCTGTTTAAATTGGAGAAAATCTGCCTGTGGAAGAGGTTCAAATGAAGCAAAAGAGTAACATCTTCGCATATGAAGATCTGATGGGGAAGGTTTTCAAGTGGAAGGAATAAATAGCAAGTGCAAAGGTTCTGAGGTAGAAACAAGGTTGCTCTACAGAGTGTTCACTCTTTATTCTAAAATTACAGTCTTTGCAGCTGTATGAAACTGGGATCAAGCCTGGTATCATAACTTATTAGTTGGGTAATCTTGGTTGGTTAAATTAATTAATAC